GGAAAACTTTGCCATCTCCATTTTCAACTGCAACCGGCAGTTTGACTCGAAGGCATTGAGGTACAAAGGTAAGCCCCAGAATAGTGGGGCCGGTTGTATAAAAACGTTGTTAACTTTAACTATGTTTAGCGCTAATCACTGTAGTTAAATCCTTAACTATAATTAGTTAACTGACACGACTTAACTGCGTTGCGCAAAACGTAGCTGTTAGTCGGATTATCAACTAACGTAGTTAATTTGCCTGGGGTTGTTAATCCGAGAAAAAGCATGAAGTATCTCAAAATTATTCACCGCTGTTATTGATTTTGAACAAGACGTGGACTCGTGTTTACAAAAATTGACAGTGTTTTAAGGCCCTGTTACACGGTGCAATTTTTCTAGCAACATTCTACCGAAAAATCATGTTGCACAAACCATCACGAAATTTGCGAAGAGTGTATTCAGAGGTTCATACTATAAATGCAAGTTCTCTCAATCCTGTGAGCAAGAATTGTTAACAAATTATCAATGTCCAAAGAAACGTGAAACTATACATCGCTTATCTTGTTCGGGGTAAGCATCAAAGAACTCAGTTCATGAAAGAAATCGAAATGCATCAAAGAACTCAGTTCATAAAATAAATCGAAATATTTCTGGGCATGCAATAGTGGTTTACGACTACATGATGAAGCTCCTATTAGAGAAATTCAGGGAATCGCAAAGAGATTGGTATGGTAAGAAAGGCATTTCAGTCCACGGAAGCATGTTTTTCTTCTAATCAGTGCCAAAGAATCAGGGCAGGACATAATGGTAGAAATACACGACGTATATTTTCAAACGGTGATAGCATACAGAATTGGTATTTCTCAGCAAGGGCTTTTGAGACCACATTCAAGAATTTTTCTGAAAGGCATTGTGACGTTACATCACTCGTCGTATGGTCGATCATTTTTTGGGTAAGTCGTGCTTCGAAACTTTGCATGGAACATGGATATTGTTCGATATTCGTTTTTTGAAGCCCAAAAAGGAAAAACTTCACTTGAATCGCATTTTGCAACATTTAAATTCGCGCTGAAATCTTGGATGAAAAAAAGAAACGATTTACTAGACAGTGCTGACATCGTTGAAGGAACCAAAGTTGAAAGGAACACATGTATACGCAGCGCAAAAACTTCGGACGGTATAACATCATTCAGATTTTACTCTAAGCCCAGAAGAAACCTATAACTCAATTGTTGCAAGGGAATTAACTGATAAAGGTACAATAATAAAGGTTTTACCTAGGTAATTATATACTATATACGTTCCCCGAGTGAGATACGTAATGCAGCGCGCGGTCAAAATATATTGAGACTGGCAAGAGTGTCTTGTTTCATCAAAAACCTGATTGTTGGGCTTCCTATGGTGAGACTAGCTTCATTTCTACAAAAATGTTGAAACAGTGAAAAATGTGAAAAAATATGACTTTCCACTTATCCATTTAATATTTTGACCTGCATGAGGTCTGCCATTTTGTTAGCCTTTTATTACAAATGGTATGTCTTTTCATTTTGGTATAAAGTTGCAAAATTCATTGTTTGCTTTTAAGAAACACTATATATCTTATGATCTATATATTCTTGGAATAAAAATTATTTGGAACATTCAAGTCATTAATTGTTTCATAAAAAGTACTGCAATTTTTATTATGATACATTGCTAGTAAATATGAAAATCACCCAAAAGATTCAAATGTGTATTATGAAAATATGTTATTTTTCCTTAACTTTGTGTGTGACACTCATTAGCTATTGTGTGTGCAGAAATAACATGTTCATGAGTGTTAATATATCTCTTTTTTAAGGAAATCGAAGCGGGAGGTCCTCGCAGTCTTGATATCATTATCGGCAGTCGCATATCAATAGTCACTGCTATTATGATAATTATTACTGCCACTATATAAATTTCGCACAATATCATTCCCAAGTACAATATTAGCCTCAAAAGCCTTTAAACTTTGTTTACGTTCGAAACACATAATAAAAGGGGACTTTCAAGTTTGTGCAATATACTTGGCAATTGCAACCGACTAAAGCGTTTCATGCATGATTTTTGCGCTGAGATCTTCAGAGTGCAGAAAGAAGCCGAAATGTCTGCATGCAGGTTACGCACTGTTGCTCGGCTCGTTAAAGTCCTGTCATTTAGGCGAAATATTTCATGGACTAGGGTTACGCGTTATATAGTATTATAAGATTGGCTTTCACTTCACGGCAAACGATTTTCGACAGTTTTCGAAAATCAGTCCCAATGTTAGATATTTCGTACCAAGATAATTATAGAGTATTAGATGACGACATTAATTAGAATAGAGACATTATTTGCATGCTAGAGATATAATCCGTAATATATGAAGATGTAAGTTGAGAGGTAAATTTAATTGGTGAGCAGTGATTGTGAGAGACAGAGTGAACTTTGCAGTGATCGTGATTAATTCATGGCCAGAAATTGCGGACATGGAATATGCAGATTGCCGTAGCAAATTTGCATATCTGTTCAAATATTATTCGTTTGCAGAACTATAAATTATATTGCGCATTCTTAAATTTTGCAAAATTTAAGAAAATCATTGCATCTTTGCTATTTGCCCTGGTTGTTTCTTGTAACTCGTGTCATATTGAAGATCCTGAGGTAATATTTTGCTGGCAAAGGTTTATGTCGGCTCTGCATTTTTATTTTATTTCTACGCTATTACGGTTTTCGTTTTATATGGTATTCAACGTGATAAATGACCAAAACTTTGTTTTGAAAATGCAGAACGAATATTGATAAAACATTTTGAAATACTATATAAAAATATTAAGATTAACTTGCTCTGCAACGAGCAATTAAGGCAAATTATAATCGACCTACCTAAAGGTGTATTTTTAGCGTTTAGTACTGTGCACATTACAGTTTACTATAAACTCACGAAGCTTTATTTTGACACCATATGCAAATTTAGGCGGAAGTAGAATGTTAACTATGTCCGAATTTTCTGGCCATGTGTTATATTTTATTAAACCTTATACAAAACTTGTGATTCGTGAATAGTGTTGCGACTATACACTAACATTTCCAACACCAACAATTTCAAAAAAGAAATTAACTAACTATAAAAATAAAAATATAACGAGACTGAATATAACCGTCTTTACTACTTGTAGATTGCTAGTAACTCAACAAACTGGTTGATTCAAAGTCTAATGACAAAATTAAAAGTAACTCGGATGAATTTTTGAACAGGAAAATGTCTTTAGTTAATAATAAATAATCTAAAGGTCTGTTTAGACGATCCAATTTTCTTGGATATATGAGCAACAAGTCTACTGAAGCCAATGCACTATCTGACTCCTCCCCAGGCGTTTTGGTGTTACGCAAACGAATAATCACTCCGGCGTCAGCGACGGAGTTGAAAATTCGCTTAGGTTTTCTTTTGTTTAGCCTCTTCTGCAGGCATCTCTTGTGTATTTAAAAAATGCATAAATACCTTGGGCTAGCTGTGTCGGGGAAGGCGAGAAAAAAGCGGTAGAGATGCCCGCCATAAATCGACACAACAAGCTGCACGGCGTATACAAGCTTGCGTATGCTAATTTTAGAAGAAAATGATAAAATCGTACTCTGTATAGGCGAAAGTAGAAAGGAGTGAAATAAAATTTCCTGGTTTATTAGAATGTAATTTGATACTTTTGATATGGATTAATATTCATATCAAAATGTTATTTCACATGTCTACATGGCTGTGCATTTAGGCGAAATCAAGCAAATATTAACGAGAAAAAATCGAATTTGGCAGCGTTTGACTCAGTAAACGCGCACGGTTTTAACGCAGACTTCTCGGGAGGCTGCGATAAAAGTGGGATTGATGTTTAGACAGATGTTAGTCCAGTTGAATGTATTGCTAGCCTGCTGTAGATCATAGATGTATGCCTCCTCTTGTGTCAATTCATTGCATGTAAGATTGAGTTCCTTAATCTTTTGTTTTGCAACACCCAAATCTTTTTTGATGCTTGTAAACTGTTCTTGTCGCCGAGCCGGTTCGAAGCACTGGGCGAGGGTATTAATTCCGCCCGGAGATTTTGATTACGCCCAGGAATGCAAATGCGAAATGAAAGTTGTCCGCCATTATGTCATGGACGTTGGGCGTTTTTGTAAGTTATGCGCATGCGTGAGTTTAAGACTGAGTTGGCTAAATTGAAATTTTAGAACGCGTTCGCGTTCTATTTTGTTAAACATGTGCTATTGCTCAGGGCCTGTATTTTCGCTAGGCGGAATTTTGCGCTCAAACAATATTTTCCGCGCGGAAACTGAAAAGTACAATACTTTCAACTTTGTTGCGGGAAAAATGTTGCTACGCGCGTAAAATTCTGCCTAATATTACTATTATTGTTAATACTCCTGTTGTGATTCGTATGTTAAAATAGAATTTTTTAAAACTAGCTGCTTCTAAAGACTTTGATTTCAACGAGCTGCAACTCGCAAGACAGCGTTCTCTCCTTACCCTTCGGGCTTCGACAGCGGGAAAAACACTCCCTGGTCCGGGTGTATCCAACACCAGGGAAATTGGTATTCATGACACTGTAAAATGGCTATTTTCAGACGATTTTGTCGAGTGCAATCTACAAATCCTTTGGGCAATTGAACATTTATAAATATTTTTTCTTAATAGCAAATTTACTCCCGAAATCATAATATAAACCAGCCTATTTCAAAACAATTTCGAGATAAATGTTAGAACTTGATATAGCATATATTGACCTACATATTGACGTCATTGAAAGTGTTCTCCCTAACAGGTATTAATTCATGTACAGCCCGAGTTGACGCTATATAGAGGTTCACTTTACGTGTTTTAAACCTCCTATTGCTATTAGTTAAAACGGATTCAGTTACTAACATTTCATATAACAATTCACTTGGACCCTAAAATGCTCGCAGCAATCCCTACCTTGCAGGTAACCTAGTATTCAATCTATATTTTTCTTACGTGAAGTACCGTCCCAAACAAAACTATAAATATGGAGGGAGCATCAGGAGTTTGTTCAGAAATCTCAAAAATTGACAATGAACTTGAACAAATAGAGCTCCAAATTGAAGTGTTATTAAAAATACAAGAAGAATTGAATAGCAGAAAGGAACACTTAGAGATGCAACTAAATGAGAACGAGGTATTTTTGGAATCCAAAAGGAAGGACTGGTCGCTAAGGAATTTTGAATGGTCTGAGCAACTTGAGGATTTGAGGGAGAAAGTTTTTCATATTGACGAATTTCGGCCATTGCAGATTGAATGTATGAATGTTACCATGTCAGGTAATATACAACATTTCAAATTTGAAGTTTGGTATACAGGCTGTCCCCCAAAAAACCAAAGCCATATAGAATTTTGAAATCACCATTACAATGTGAATATATAATAGAGTTGATCGAATGCCTAAGCACTCACAAGTGGGACCCACAAGTGTGTAAATGTTTAACATAAGCATTTTTATACATGATGACAGTCAAATTTTCTTGTATGCACAAATGATCTTTATTAACAATATTTACACTTTACTAGTCTAATACAAATATGGATATTTGTATTTACGACTATACATTACACCATTTACGATATATTTACGACCATTAGCACCATGACCTTCAACATGTCCTTCTTCTCCAGAAAATTTAAAACTTTTGTAATTAGCACTTTATATAAGTTGCATTAATGTTCATGGGCAATGTAATTGATATAATTCCAGCCTATTTTGAAGGCCCAGACACTGCCTGGTAACTGCATGTGGATACTGTTAAATCTGTTTACATCCTAATTTTAGGTTTGGACTGTATTCTGATCATGCCAACTGGTGGAGGTAAAAGCCTTACATTCCAACTCCCAGCTTTGTTATCCCCTGGGTTTACACTGGTAATATCACCTCTGGTATCCCTGATGGAAGATCAACTCATGTCACTACGGGAATATAATATTGAAGCTAGCTTATTGAATGCTAGTAGTTCCAGAGAACATATTAATTATGTGCACAGTAACATGATAAAAAAAGATTCAGGATTAAAGATATTGTATGTTACACCTGAGAAGATTGCGAAGAGTAAACGGTTTATGGCAAAACTTGAAAAAAGTTACACAGGTGTAGTATTTTATATTGGAGAATTTATAGCTCTAACGTAATGATGCAAGAGATCTAGGTCCATAACATTCAATTAAATCTTGCTTTAAGTTTTACTATTGTATTCAATGTAACAAAGATTTTGCAGGGGTGCATGTTATTGCCACCATTTTAAACCCAGGGCCTCTATTAACATAGTGGATTTTTTTGACATGCAGGATCTTGCAAAGGTTTTGCAGGAACTTGCCAAGGTTCTCCAAGATCGTCACAAGATCATCTGTGATCGTCACAGATCTGCAGCACACGTCTGAAATACCTTTCTGGATCTACTTCTGTTACATTTAGAAATACTAACTTCAGGTTAGCGAAATTCTTTAACATGTTGGTGGCCGTATAATATTATATCTTTCTTATTTCAGCTGGCTGCCTGTCACGTATTGTGATAGACGAGGTCCACTGCATCAGCCAATGGGGACATGACTTTAGACCCGACTATAAAATTCTCGGAATTCTAAAAAGACAATTTCCAAATTGTGCAATACTCGGACTTACTGCTACGGCAACATCACGTGTCATTGAAGATGTTAAGAATAATCTAAATTTAACATCGGACTGTGTTATACTCAAAGCTTCTTTCAATCGCCCTAATCTTTATTACGAGGTAAGAAGACGCATATGTACACATTTAATTAACCATGGTTTTGTTGTGCTGTCTGTAGCGTATAAACAAATGCTTTGATTTAATATTATTTTGTTTACAATTTGCATGGCTATCAGATAATTATGTTGTAATGTCTACACATATAGGGGAGGCGGTCCACTAGGTGGAATTTTTTGCGGAGCGAAATTTTTTATTGTCCCCGCCCTTTCAACAAAGAAAGATTCCGCTCCGCACGCAAAATTCCGCCTCGTAGAATGGCTGAATGATAAAAGTCATCATTTTCAAATTAAGCGAAATTTTGCGCCCGATTTTGAATCGTTGGTGTTATATTTTCCTCTATATTTCGCCTGAAGCCACTGCATGCAAACTGATTGTTGCTTTCTAGTCCTGCGGGTTTTTACCAATTAAATAACCATGAGGTACGGTTTCTTCCAATCAGAGTTTCACCCCAAAGCGCTGCGAACAGACTGATCATCGCCTTTGAAAGTAGAGTTAGTAAAATAAGTTTGAATTTATGAAATATATTAAGGTTAGAATGAAGCCGTCGTCGCCAGTGAATATATTGAACGAAATTGCGTCAGTGATTAAGGCACAGTTTTTGGGAGAGTCAGGTATAGTGTGCATGTAGTACTTTTCATTAAAGTGACTTTGTATTGAATGTTCGTCAATTGGCATGGTATGATGGTAATTTACAAAGCACGCCATGCACATCAAATTAAACAGCGCCGAAGCTTAAAGGTGGTGTTAAGGTTCACACGATCTAACTTTGTCGTATTCAATTCACTTCTGATGGATGAAATGTAGTTTGTTATTGATAAAATAGTACTGCAGTTTGCTGCCCATATACATTGCAACTCGAAAAACTACAAAACCTCCATCAGAAGTGAATCGGATCCGAGAAAATTGGATCGTGTGAACAGACCTTGCAACTTGCAATGCGATTCTACTCCTGAGGCATCTAAAGTTGTCAAATACAACATTTCGTGCGATGCGCTAACGTTTTAAACAGCCTTTTCAAATTAACATCTTTCAAAATTATAATTCCGTAAAAATTGTAAAAGCGCGTAAGATTTGATAGAATACCTGTGAATGTTTACCAACCTAAATGAACAATGCTTGGCAACTTCCGCTAGAGGCTGATTAACCGTGTAAGTAAGTACATAAATGTAAAAATTATATCCATATAAGCAAGTAAAACTCATATCAACAAGTAAACCTTCAGTTGGTAAAAGTAAAAAAACCATGATGATTTTCTTCAACTCCGACGAAAAAGTTTTAACACAGCAAGTAAAAGGGAAAATAATTTTTTAAATATTTGCTGTGAATTTTTTTGTGTCACACCGGGATCCAGAGGTTGTGGTCAAAGTCGTATCTTTTCCACAATTGCATTGCATTGGCCAAAAGCATCTGTTTTCATTCTCGTTTGACCGTGCTATTCAAGATAATATGCCTTTAGTAGTCTTAAGGCCAGTTTACACTTGCAAATTTAGGTGCGATTTTCTTCTTTTGATAGATGTGAACGAGTAATTAGTACGAACGCTCTGATACTTTGATGTATAAGAGCTCCTATTTTAAGATCTGTGACTCATTCACCCGTTCGGCTTTTACTCTTTTTTGGAAAAACTTTTTTGTTTAAATTTTTATTACCATATAGGGATAGTTTATTGTCTCTCAAGGAAAGATTCCTTTGACGTCGCTTTGGGACTCCGCAAACGCGAAGTTAGCGCGAAATGTTATCATGCAGATTTAACACCTGAAGCTCGCACGAAAGTGCACAATTCCTGGACAAAAGGAAATTTAAAGGTGCTCTGTTTAATATTTTTTTCTGAATGATTTTAAAAGTCGTTCCGGTTAAAAAGACCTACAACTAACCCATGCCTAATATATCTAAAATAAATACATAAGAGATGCCTGCGGAGGAGGCTAAAAAAGACCAATTGTTTATATAATTCCCACTTCATTCTCCTGTGCTGTCGAATATTATACACACACAATCGATATATTTAAACAAATTTAACTATTGAAAATTTAATATATTACAGAAAATATCACAAAAAACACTTTTTTGTTCCTCCCCTCTTCCTCGTTGCTTCCTCATTTTCGTTGCTCTGACAACCTTAACTCAAGTTCTGGGTGTGTGTAGCCTGTCCCTTCGGCTCACTCCCAACATGCTTTGCGTATTCTTTGTTTTTTTTTCTAATAAAATGAAAGGCCAGGATTAAACAAAATGGATAACAATAAAACGCTCTCTGTCCAAAAATATTTTGTATTTAAGAGCTTTCGGCTGTCAGACTGCAGCCTAAGACGGGTGAAATTAAGTGATTTACACAGTGTATTTCAAGCCATTACCAGAACCATATTTAATACTCTAAATCAATAACTTACACTGTATTCGCCCGTTGAAGGCTGCCGTCTGGCTGGAGAACCAGAAAACTCGTAAATATACAATATTTTTGGTACTGATAATTTTTGGTACTGATAATACTGATAATTACTATAATGAGCTTCTTTTTTATTTCATTGTGAATTTCCCGTCATGTTTTCATAGATGAGAAAAACCTTGTATTCATGAAAGGCGTAACATATCCCAGTGGCCAGACATGTTTAAAAGTAAAATAAATTATAGGGTTAATGAATAAATCAGTCACCCTAAAAACCTACGACGACTCGCAATATCCAAGTTTCACGAACGTCAGTGTAGTATTTTAGTTTTAGTTTTAGTTTTCACCGCTAAGACACCGCTGTCCATATAATGTATTTAAGGTGATCGTGGCCACTACTGCATTTGGCATGGGGATAAATAAGGCGAATGTACGCTACGTCATCCATCATACTATGAGTCAATCTCTGGAGAATTACTATCAAGAAAGTGGTCGCGCTGGCAGAGATGGGAAAAGAGCTCAGTGTATATTATATTATAATCCAACTGATTCCAGTCGGCTGAGTTGCATGGTAAGAAAATGTTTTTTTTCTGTGTTCTATATTATGAAACCGAAGCGTATTGCTTGCGTAAATAACAACGAAGCATCTCGCCTGATTATATTATATTATTTTCAATTATGACTGGTCAAGAAAATCTTCTACGGTCAAATTTATTCAAAAGAATGAGAAATTTTGATCTATAGCGCATGGCTTTGTTTTTATGTTAAAACTCACAGTCTCCTGTTGCGTGTTTAGTGGGGGTGGAACATTACTTTGTTACTCAAATAACTCGTCCAGATCTTTTATATGTTCTTCATAAGCGCCTGACAAGATGAAACATGGGCCATTATACGTATTAATTTCGAGTGGAATTATACAAACTTCAATTTTAAGCCAGGAACAGTGAGTGTGTATAATTGAAGTGTGTATAATTCCACTCGAATTTAAGACCCTTTCAACCTCTAGAATTTACATACATCGAGTAAAGTACCAAAAATCATAATTGATTTACCGGCTTTATATGTGTTAAGTTATACCTGAAAGGATTTCAACCTCGTCCCCAGGGCAAATTTCCTGCCACCCCTAAACACGGAAATTGGCCATAGGAACGATCTTAGGGAATGTTAGGGCGGTTGAGGACGATGTATTACTTTATATATTTTAATTTGTCTATACAATTACATTGAGTTTTTACCCAATATCTAGGTTTTTACGGAGCAAACGGGGTTACCGAATCTTTACAAGATGTTATCATATAGTCAAGACTTGCAATCATGTCGTCGTTCGTTGATTGGTCAACATTTTGGCGAGGAATGGAAAAATGAAGAGTGTAAAGGAATGTGTGATAACTGCCAGAGACGGGAAAAAGGGGAAGGTGAGTCTCGTGAGAGTCATTGACACTTGAAAACTCAATCTCTCACTATTAAGGCCCATTTACACCATACGATTTGTCGTATGCGATTCGTACCCTGGCATATGTGAACGTATGAATACACTTACAAACGTGGCAGTTTAAATTCAACCCAAAACAGAATTGAATGATTATTGTGGCATAGGCCCTCTTTTTCATTCGTCAGAATGATAATTACATACAATGTAGTCTAGTCTAAATACGCCTTTATTTATCTTCCTGCATGCTTGGTCGGTTGATGCTGTGATATCGGTTCAGGGTGCTGGGGTGTGGGCATCTCACAAATTTCAGGAGAATTTGAAATTTGCGTTCCAGTTCAGGCTTTGTGGGATTCGACGCAATTTAAAAAATAATTTCAAAGTTGCAGTAAGAGGCTGGTATAATTGTTTTGTGTACAATCGTCATTTGGGGCTGTTTTGTTTTGTTTACAACATTAAAGCAGGCCCTTGCCAACCTCACTATCAATATGTAGTCACCTACTTCAACTTCCACGTGTCTCTGACAATCATAGGCTATTTTCACACGGATGCATGGTTTAGTTCGATCTGAGATCGATGTAACGTACAACAAGTTTGAAGTCATGAAAATTTGAGATCGATCTCAGTTAACCCGCTTCAGAATTTCTCTAAGGTCTGAGGTCCATCCGAGGTTGGTCCGGTTCATATGCTTTTACCCCAGCCTATTTTCTTCGTATATTCTCTTGTAGATAACAGTATCGCTTTAAGAAAGGATTTGACGAAAGAGGCGCAAAATGTTTTAAAGATCGTAAAACGCGGCCTAGAAATTGATGAACGAGTTACGATGAATAAGTTATTCCAAGCCTGGAATGGCAAAGGAAATAAGAAATTGCGATTGAAAGATGTATCTATACCTTCTCTAACCGCTGTGGATTGTCTGCGGTTCCTCATTCACCTAATACTTGAGTGTATTCTACGTGAAGATTTCCATTTTACCCCCTTCTCAAAGATACCGCATCTTGTGCCTGGACTGCGCGCGAGGGAACTTTCGGCGGGAAATGTATCAGTATCAATGTTGCTATCGAGTCAAACGTCAATCCAGGTACCGTTATAGCTTTGCTCTCTTGTAATTAAGTGAACGGCGTTCCGTCAACTTACTGGAGCAGTCTCCTGCTCCACATTTGGTGAGGTTGAAAATTTCTTTGTTTCCGAGCATAAAGGCCCTGTTACACGCTCTTGCAACTTGCAATGCAATTCTACTTCTAAGACTTGTAAATTAGTGAATAGTCTTGCAGAAGAAAATTACATGAAGTGTAATAAACGCAAAAGTTGAATTGCATTGCAAGTTGCAAGAAAAATTGCACCGTGTAACAGGGCCTTAAGATTAGAAAAATAGTCGTTCAGATATTTGAATATTTCCTTCATAAGCGGTCTCGTTATAATTATAATGTAGGATAACAGGCGTAAAATAGTTAAATGTATTTTTTTCCACAAAGAAACTTCAAAAAAAAGCGTCGAAGAAACGAGACAGAGCCAAGTCAGGCAAAGATGATATAAACTGTGGCACTAAAATAGAAGCCAAGAAAGCTAAAGTTGAAGTGGACATTACTGACAGTGATAGCTTGAAGCCATCATCGTCACAACCGAATAAGAAATTGAATACTCACTTGCCTTCTTCAAGATCTAATAACCCTGTTGTGATTAATATTGATTAACTGGATTACGAGTATTTGTTTCTTTGAATGTCTCCAGATCAGTGTGAGATCAGAGTGTTTCGTGTATGAAGTCTGTTCTCAAAATAATTTCTTCAGTCTTCAGATTTTGGATGTAAAAAAATAAAATAGCATTGCCACGTGTGTGACCAGAGAATCACCCAATGCATGGTTCTCATAACTCTAACATTGTTCCCTTTTTTTACATTTCTGGGAAAGGACTTCATCTTTCTTAGAAAAATGGCTTTTAAAATTCTATATGATAAACTGTGTAAAAGTCCATTTTACGCTTCGTTAAATCTCGGTAACCGGGCTCGTACGAACAGCCCCTAAGTAAGACTTTAGCTCATCACTGCGGATTCAGCTTGACTGTTAAATGCATGTAAATAGTTTTTGCGTTAATTTTAACAATTGCGCGATGACATTTCTAGACAAACAGTGACACGTTTCCTGGGCGTAACTTCAATGGCCGTCTTGAAAATTCAAACGTTACTGACATAAATGACCAAAGTAGAATTCGGAAAATGTCCGAGAGGTGTTTGCTTTTTAACAGAACGTTAAAGCCCTGCACAGACTAAAAAGTTTTCCTTGACAAGTTTTCTTGGCCAGTTCACTTGCTGGTGTGTACGCGAAAAATTTGACAAATTTTTCTTCACAAGTTTTACGATAATATAACTTGCCAAAGAAACTTGTCAACGAAATCTTGTTCGTCCTACACACCAGCAAAGCAGAACTGGTCAAGAAAACTTGTCAGGGAAAAGTTCAGCTATCTACATTTTCAACTGCAACCGGTAGTTTGACTCAAAGGCATTGAGGTACAAAGGTAAGCCCCAGAATACTGGGGCCGGTTGTATAAAAACGTAAAAAAACTCAGTCATGAAAGAAATTGAAATATATCTGGGCATGCAATAGTGGTTTACGACTACATGATAAAGCTCCTAAAAGTTCAGGGAACCGCAAAGAGATTGGTATGGTAAGAAAGGAGTCCACGGAAGCATATTTTTCTCAAGTGCTTATAAAGAATCAGGGCGGGACATAATGGTAGAAATACACGACTTATTTTTAAACGGAGATAGCACACACAATTATTGGTATTTCTCAGCAAGCGCTTTTGAGGCCACATTCAAGAATTTTTCTGAAGGGCATTGTGACGTTAAATCACTCGTCGTATGGTCAGATAACGGGCCACATTATCACAACACTTCGATAATTTTTTTCGGTAAGTCGTGTTTCGAAACTTTGGAACATGGACATTGTTCGATATTCGTTTTTTGAAGCCCAAAAGGAAAAACTGAAATTCGGGCTGAAATCTTGGATGAAAAAAGAGAACGATTTACTAGACAGTGCTGACATCGTTGAAGGAACCAAAGTTGAAAGGAACACATGTATACGGAATACACATGAACAGATTTAACGAGCCACGCAGCGCAAAAACTTCGGACGGTATAGCATCATTTTCAGATTTTACTCTAAGCCCAGAAGAAACATATAACTCAATTGTTGCAAGAGAAATAACTGAGGTACAATAATGAAGGTCAGTTTTACCTAGGTAATTACCTAGGTAATCATATATTATATACGTGACCCGAGTGACATACGTAATGCAGCGCGCGGTCAAAATTATTATTATTATTATTAAGTCATAATAAAAATAGTTACATCAGACGTGTAACTTTACAAAATTAAGTTGTAAATTATTTTTTAACTATTTACAATATTCGACATCTTAATACGACTACAAACGTTAAAAAAGTTCAGAATTATTGATTTACTAGTTAAAATAGTAAAAAAGACATCTATTTAGAGCCGTCCGTTTAAACCGTTCTGTCCTTATATTTCGCAATATAAATTCATGTTCTCGCTCTCGTAATATTCGCTGCTTCTTGGCTGGAAGCAATTCGTATAAGGTGTGACCTGGATTGTTCCTTATCTTATCGAATAGGCATTTGTGATTTGTCTCGAGGTCGGTAAAGTTCGAGTTAAGCCCTTCGAGTTAAGCCCCCCGAGTTAAGCCCTTTTCAAGTTAAGCCCCGACCACGCCCAAGACACGCCTTTTTTTGCGAAGGGCTTAACTCGATGTACGAAGCACGATTTCATTATTCGAGTTTAGCCCCGGGGTTTAACTCGAAGTACGAAAGTCGAAAAACGACTTTTATTATTCGAGTTAAGCCCCGGGGCTTAACTCGATCTTGTCTAAGATTAGTGAAGGAAATCGCAAATAAAATTACAGCGAAAATTGAAAGTTCATGTAAACGGGCTTTTATGAAGTGCCTAGTCAGACTTTACTGACTCTCTAAAGTAAGCAAGTTCTTTCTCTGGCAATCTTGGTTAACAGCTGTTTAAATTTTGCGTGCATGGATCATGAAAACTTTAAAGCTCTAGTGTATGAATAGTGCACCGATGAAGTATATGAATATGCACCTCTCCCAAGTCACATTGTCCAGTACTTTAGTACTTTACAATAAGGCCAATACTTAGAGTAATATTGTTAGACACTTAAGGATCATGCACGCGAACCGCAAATGCGATCACGATTTTCACTAATTTTACAGTTTTCAAAAGCAACCACGTTTGAATATGTTACGATATCAGTCTTGATAAATACCCACGGACAGCACATTTTGGTAGCCAGGGGTCCATAGCTCTCAAAATTTCGTTCTAGAATTTAATTTATTTGACTCAAAAAAATTGGAAAAATTTTTAAGACCAACAGTATCACTTAATTTTGAGACTTGTGGGGATAACCTTACAGTTCCATAGGGTATAAGGTCCACCCAATAAGTTTTACCACATTTTTCATGCCATAAAGAATAGTGAAAATCATCTTAGAAATAAAATTTCCAGTGGCGCAGCTATCATAAATAATTAGGGGGCACATATTCATATATTCAATTTGCTACTGTAAAAATAATTGGTTTTAAATGGAACCACGCAGTTGTTTATGAAAAAGTAATTTTCATATGTCCATCATCACTCGGTTCAAAGTACTGAGAGAAAAAGAACGAGACATCAGCTGGGATATTCAGTCCAAAGCGGAGGTCGTATCAGTTGAATCCAAGAAAGCAAGTCCTAAAAGATCCGCCTGTCTAAAGGTAAACTATGTTACATACAGTACATCTTGTTTGAGCTTCTTGCTGCATGGGCTTTCATTCTCAATTTTTTATTTTTAAATTACGCTTTCCACTTTTAAATTACGCTTTCCACCCAGTGTTTCAATCACACAACTCAAGTGCTTCTATAACTCAACCAAAAGGTTTTATACAAATTTTGTTTTCATTTATAATTAATTTTATAATTTTATTAAAAATATAATTCTCATAACATTATTCACAACGAACGATGAACAATGAACAATGAATTAAAAAAGAACTATGTTTTATATTTCGTGCTTTGTGATTAAAATGAGTCCAAATGTCTAATAAAGGGTCATTGGCTATTTTTATAGCAAAGTATAGCTACTATTGTATTGATTATTTTGTTTATGCTTTAAAATTTAAAGCCGTTAGGCGGAAAATCATTATCATGCGCGGACTATGATAATTAATATAGTTTTATATTATAAATTTCCATGTTTAATACGGAAGAAAACTTTTCACAATCATGCTCTAATAAGGATTAAATTCCAAAGTAACTGTAATCTTTAATCACGAATTCATCGATGTTTCGACATCTGAATAGCAATCTTAAAGAGCTGAAAATTTAAGCCCTTGGCAAAAAACCATCTGTCATGAGAATACTCATTGGCGACAGTTCTTAAAAACTTTTTTCGCCCACAAAAATTACTGTTCTCATATCTCTTATCAGATCTAGAAAGTGATATTTCACGTTTCACGAGGCGAATTAATGTTACCGAAGAAGCCGGCTTTTTGTTCATTTCTAACGTTACCTAAAATTTGTTGCGACATGATGAGTTGCATGTACGCTAATATGCAATTTACTTTTAACATAACGGCTTTAATTCATGTTTTAAAAGTTCATGACTTGAAATTGTCCTGGATTTTGCCCTCTGTGTGCCGACCTGTGAATCAATAAAACAGCCGTTTCGTAATATTGGTACAGTTCAACATTCGGCCAACTGATTCTGTTCAAATGTGTATAAATTATATACGCAATGCTTCGTATATATACGCTTCGTGTATATGCAACCAACGTGAAGGGGCCATGATTAACTATATTTTTACGGATCGCAAGACCAAAACATCTCTGATATATCTCTGTAGTTAAAAGCCGAGCAGGAAAGGTTTAAATGTAGTGTAAAATATATATAGTATTTTTGTTGAAAAAAAAAATATGTCACAGGAACTGTTCTTGTTCGCAAGTTTACGCTGGCATCCCGCCTTGCAAAATGAAATGTTCTTATCGATGGTTTGGTTAACGCTACCTGAGCATTTTTTTTTCTAATCCTCAGTTACATATTTTTTATTCCACAGCATACTGTAGCGTAGCCAGCCTCACAATTTTTCCCGCTATGCTAATATTTTGGTGTTCATTAATTTTACTGTGCATGAAAACAATAAATTTATAAAGACCTGAATAATTATATATATATAATTATATATATATATATATATATATAATTATTCAGGTCTATTATTCATAATTATTCAGTATATATATATATATAATTATATAATAACTCGAAATTTACACAGCGGGATAAAATCGTCAGGCTGGCTACGCCACTGACACCATAATGTATGTAAGACAGTCATGTAAAAGAAATTATATTTCGAACATTTTATAAAGAAGATAAAAATATCTCCAGAGCAGCTGACAACATATAATTAATATAGCTATGAATAAATTATAACTACAATACTGTTCAGAAATAATCTACCAGAAACCGCTGTTAACCTAGGTTAAACCTCGGTCTGATCGCGGTGGAAACGAGGTCAGACGGAGGTCGAGCTGCCGTGAGACGGATGTTAAACCTCGGTCTGGCAGACATTTCTTAAGATTTTTTCGATTTGTTTACTGTGTTGTCCTTCTCAGCGCTAGCTGTTCATAACATTTCGTTCGGAGGCGAACGGCCACTGCGAAAGTATTTTTCCCTTGCGCTCGTCTGCGATTTCCATCAGTCGACCTCAACCGAACAGCGACCGAATCGCAACCTAACCGCAACCGCAGTGTTAGGCATACTGTATCTAAAAGCTGTTATTTTTGAGGCGAGCATGGATATAAAATCATTACTATTTATTATTATTATTATTATTATTTAAAGATATTTAAAAACGGTAGTCCTTCATCAAAATTTTTTTCAAGGGGCCGTTGCATGCCAAGTATGAAAATAATTGACGTAAAGTTTACCTATATGAACTGTATATACATCATAGTTACATTAATTTAAGTTAGGAAAAAAAGACAATCACAGATCGTAAATAAAAACGCTGATGAATAATCAATACATTTGACTGACCAATTGTAAGTGCTTCAATTTTTTGCAACATTTGGCAAATTATTCCACAGCATCGCTCCAGAATAACTTGTGCTGTTTTTCATGAAATTAGTTTTAGGCTTCGAAATTAGAAAATTAATGCTGTTATACTTCTCAAATCATTATGGAACTGGTTGTCCCGTACTTCAAACAT